ATGTTATTAGGTTAGTTTATAAGGTGAACAATTTGTTGTTTCAACCAATTTGGATTGAGATTTGAATGAACTGGTTAGATAGAGTAGTTGGAATTGATGTTGATAATTAATGTAGATTAATGAGAAATATATGTGATTTTTTTATGTTGATGTTGATCCTTAAGACAAAAATGTTCTTTGAATGAGTAATTGATTAATGAAATTATGAAAGACATAAAACATGCTAATCTAAAAATTGGTTCCTCTCTAAAAAAATAAGCCAATAACATTATCATATGTTTTTATATATTCTTTTATATATATATTAGTACAAAATAACAAGTCTTGAGTGAACGAAAACTCCGTGATTTTTAAAGTTGAAGAATTTTCTATATATGTGTATTATAGTGTATATTTTGTTGTCCCTCCTTCGTTATATTTTATAGAATGTCTAAATTTTTTGTAATAAAATAAATGAAAAATCGTAAATATATTTTATAATTTTGTGTCTGATTATATTCTATATCAATTAGATTATATCTAGGAGAAAAATTTAGCTAAATGTTACATAATTGATATAACCACAAGATATTGTATCCTATAAAAGAAAGAAGAACTTCTTAATGTTATAAGGAAAAAAATACGAAAAGGAAAAACTGATGCGTGTAAAGAGTAGAGAGTTGGCTATAATTTTGAAAGTATTATGAACTTATTTTATTTGGTAAATAAGATGAATAGAAATATTTTATAATTTTTGTAGAATTATTCCATATTTATACATTAACATTAAATAACAACTTATGTAACTACAAAAAATTATAAACTTTATACAACAATAATTTTTCACCTCTTTCCATGGTATCTCATTTTTCATTTCTGTCTTGTCTCTGTATTTTCCTTTTTCTTTTTTCCATAAATATTATTGGTATCATTTCAATTTCTCTTGCTGAATATCATCCGGATTTCTTACAAATGATATTTCTTTTTTTTTTTTGGTATCCCACTATTCATGGTTTTCTCAGATGTCAGTGGGAAGAGGGAAAGAAAAGGCTGAACAAAAAATTGAGATGATGTGTCCTTGGGAGTATAGGATTCCTAGGGCTTCCAGCGGGATAAGAAGCTTAATCCAAATATTTTCCTTGAGGCCTCACCCGAGTTTATAAAACCAACCAGCTTCGCAACAAGTGCTGCACTTTCCCTTACGTGGTTCAAATCTTTTGTATTCGTCCATAAGCACCATGCCAACTGTACACTTCTGTGCTTAGATTTCAAGTCCACACCCCACTTCACGTAAAGTTCGTTTCTTTCCTTCCACGAAAACTTCTTATGCACTTGCTTGCTTAGCATTTTCCTCTCACGATTCAGTGCCNTCTTCATTAATTTCAGGAGAAATTATCAACCTCACTTTGCTATCAAACCTTTTACGGTAGTTTTCTTTTGTATTGTGTGTTAGGTAATTAAAAAAGGTACAACATCACATCCACTTCAAAGATCCACACAAGAGTAATTTCAAACCCTAACTAACCATTCAACATTTTTAGGGCTACATTTGCTATTTGATATGTTATCATTTAATGCACAAAACTGTTTTTTAAATGATGATAGTTTGTGTAGTTCACATTTAAATAAAAAAATAATTTGGACCCTTCTTCAATAAAGGAAAGGAGTATGGTTTTGTGAGAAGTTGGTGGGTTGACTTTATTATGTATCCTCCAAATATAAGAGAGAAGAACTCAGACAAATAAAACAACATTTATAGTGAATCTTTGGACCACGTCTCTTTTATAAACAAAACAAACACTATGAATATATTTGTAATTACTTTTACTTTTTAATGATAATTTTCTAAATATTCTAATCTTAATTCTGACATTTGATTAGACTATTTTAAAAGAACTAAAGGATTAGTAAAATTTAATACAACTAATTGATTTTCTTTACATTGAACTTAAAGGAAGGGGCTTCATGGTTCACCCACCAAATAGAGGGAGTTGGTTATTGGAGACTTGTATCATAAATGGGTGTAGAGGGTAGCCAGCATTGTAATATCAATCAACCCATTTTAGCTGTGAACACAATAAGTACAGTTGTTATATTAGCATGTCCTTATTAGAAGATGAAAATAACTACTATATTAAATTTACAAGAAATAGAAGTGCTGAAAGCTGATATTTCAATAATTAGTAAATAATCTCACAAAAGAATGAAAGACAACTCAAAGACACTAATGCACAATGATGATACAAATATTTTTAGAAGAATATCCAAAGCGGCTACAACAAAATAAGTTTAAGATATATTGGTTAAAAAGAGAAAACAAAGAAAGTGAAATTATTGGTTCAAACATTATTATTATGCCAAAATTTATAATTATTTGTTGAAATATTTTATTTTCTAGTTAAAAACATAATAATTTAAATGTCACCATTCCATTATAATATAATTTATGGGAGAACTTGTGATAATCCAAAATTCTTATTTTTCAAAAGCTTCATTCTTCTCTCCAACTTTAGTTCTCTACAAAATTTTTATTTTTTCTCTCAAATTTCTTATTTAGTTATAGTTTAAAAATTCTAACTCAAAGTCAATTTCTCTAAACGGTGAGTTCACATTTCAATTCCTTATCAGTAGAGTAATTTGTTGTTTCTTAAATCCAAGTGTATATTTATACCCTCATTTAACCTTTAATCTTGGATTTTTAATTGATTTTTATCCTTTGAACATTTATTTTAATTAGAATTTGTTATAATTGTGTTTATGAAGCATGAGATATAATAATATGTTAAAGATAATTTTTTAGTTGCATAAATGTTCTTTCTATATTTTGAGGTATGTCACTATAATTGTACCTAAGTCGACCTTATAAAGGTATGAAAATAAATTATTTAAGACTTCATGACATCTTAAAGATAAATCCAAAAAATAACAAATCATCATAACCACAAAAAATTCAAGTCAAACATTGTATGAAGAAGACAAATATGAAAAAGTGAAAGATTTTGGCTAAGTTAGGAAGAGAAAATGACCAACAAAAACTGAACCTATTTTCTTCCATAAAAAAGGCTTTGATAATTTAAGAATATTTATGATGCCATATAAATTTACCTTTGAATTGAGTATTGTTATGTTGTCAAATTTGTGTCATACCTTTAAACTTAGGTCACCAAGGTTACAACTTCTAGGTTTCTCTAGTCACCCTTCTTCTTGAGTTGACCAAACCTCTCTTGAGAGCACACCAAACACCACTGTTTGAGTCATATATCTTGGAAGATGAGTCACTCTTTCACCACATAAAACCCATTATATATGCAAAATATTTCCACCACCATCAAACTTACGCAACTACCAACCCATTTGGAAGTCTCCACCTTGCTTAAGTCATATATCTTAGATGAGCTTATACCATCATTTGATATCAAACCATAATTATTAAGTACCACTAGAACAATCATGACAATGAATCATTGACTCTTTGTGGCTATGGGCGGTAGTTTGTGAAAAATTTTCTTATTAGAAGTGATTTATAAAGTGGTATGTAGTTATTCTTTACCTTTCACATTTTGTAATTGTAGTATATTGGGTTATAGTTGTTAATAAGGAATGTTTGTGAAATTTTGTATGGTATTAGTAGTCAAATTAGTTATTTCTAAGACAGTGGTGCTGGGCAGGAACTCTAAATACAAATATTATAAATAATTATTTTAAAACCTTGCTTGAAGTAGTTATGTGTGGTTGAGTCATAATAGCTATTTTTATGAAAAAATACTATTGTGTAACGTGTCAAAGTGTATTGAAAGAAAATTGGGATTGAGATTATCCTGACTCAACTAATGTCTAACTCATATAGAGTACCACATCTAGGTGGTATGAGTCGAAGGAAGCTCTAGATGGAGACCATATGATATGAAATATGATCATACTTAGGAAGTTAGAAGGGTTAGACTTGTCATAACTTGATTTGACAACAATGGTCAATATCAATGGAAGATTTGGTAGCAAGCATGATAGGTGCAGAGTTTTACGAGTTCATTCAATACATTAGTTTTTCAGAAACAAAGTTTCTATTTAGTGTGTTGTTTGAGCTACTTTGAGTCGCATGTTGTTGGAACCTTGTGGGTTGATACTTAGTAATTGATTTTTGATGATTGAGAATTTTTTATGTTATTAGGTTAGTTTATAAGGTGAACAATTTGTTGTTTCAACCAATTTGGATTGAGATTTGAATGAACTGGTTATACATAGTAGTTGGAATTGATGTTGATAATTAATGTAGATTAATGAGAAATATATGTGATTTTTTTATGTTGATCCTTAAGACAAAAATGTTCTTTGAATGAGTAATTGATTAATGAAATTATGAAAGACATAAAACATGTTAATCTAAAAATTGGTTCCTCTCTAAAAAAATAAGCCAATAACATTATCATATGTTTATATATATATTAGTACAAAATAACAAGTCTTGAGTGAAAGAAAACTTCGTGATTTTTAAAGTTGGAGAATTTTCTATATATGTGTATTATAGTGTATATTTTGTTGTCCTTCGTTATATTTTATAGAATGTCTAAATTTTTTGTAATAAAATAAATGAAAAATCGTAAATATATTTTATAATTTTGTGTCTGATTATATTCTATATCAATTAGATTATATCTAGGAGAAAAATTTAGCTAAATGTTACATAATTGATATAACCACAAGATATTGTATCCTATAAAAGAAAGAAGAACTTCTTAATGTTATAAGGAAAAAAATACGAAAAGGAAAAACTGATGCGTGTAAAGAGTAGAGAGTTGGCTATAATTTTGAAAGTATTATGAACTTATTTTATTTGGTAAATAAGATGAATAGAAATATTTTATAATTTTTGTAGAATTATTCCATATTTATACATTAACATTAAATAACAACTTATGTAACTACAAAAAATTATAAACTTTATACAACAATAATTTTTCACCTCTTTCCATGGTATCTCATTTTTCATTTCTGTCTTGTCTCTGTATTTTCCTTTTTCTTTTTTCCATAAATATTATTGGTATCATTTCAATTTCTCTTGCTGAATATCATCCGGATTTCTTACAAATGATATTTCTTTTTTTTTTTTGGTATCCCACTATTCATGGTTTTCTCAGATGTCAGTGGGAAGAGGGAAAGAAAAGGCTGAACAAAAAATTGAGATGATGTGTCCTTGGGAGTATAGGATTCCTAGGGCTTCCAGCGGGATAAGAAGCTTAATCCAAATATTTTCCTTGAGGCCTCACCCGAGTTTATAAAACCAACCAGCTTCGCAACAAGTGCTGCACTTTCCCTTACGTGGTTCAAATCTTTTGTATTCGTCCATAAGCACCATGCCAACTGTACACTTCTGTGCTTAGATTTCAAGTCCACACCCCACTTCACGTAAAGTTCGTTTCTTTCCTTCCACGAAAACTTCTTATGCACTTGCTTGCTTAGCATTTTCCTCTCACGATTCAGTGCCATCAAACTGGTAGTAAAAAGGACAAAAACAAAATGAAATATTATGACAAATATTTTTACAGTACTATTAATGTAAAGTTTCACATGGGATGATTAAGAGCTTCATATTTTCAGTATCTTTTTAGCACTCACAAGCATGAGTATGTTAATAATATCCAGTTTTACTATATAATCCCCATTGTGATGTATTTGCTTCGAATTAATTCTCAACATCTATGATCTAACTAGTCCTTTAAACATTCCACTAAGAAGAAAAAAATTATAAAATTTCATCTCAAAAAGTGTGAAGACTACATAGACACAAAATGTCTTGCATCAACAAAAATAAGTCACATGCAGGGGAGTGCCCTGTCACAATGAGAATCAACCAATCTGATTGATAATATTGGCAAAGATAAATGCGAATTGCATGTTTAAACTCTAATCAAACAAAAATATTTTACCTTGAATTAGGTGTGACATCCGAACCATGTCCTGTACTGTTTGTTGCGCTAAAAAACGTGTCCTTTAAGAAAGACAAACGTCTGAGCTCTACATCAAAGTACACTGCATCCGAAATTTCGCCTTTGATGAGAAGAAAAAAATAGGACCTATGTACCAAGGGTATATTACATGCATCCCAAAGTTGAATTGTATCTCTCAGCTGCGTCTCAAAATTCCAAGGCGCCGGAGTTCCGCTGAAACTGACACCTCTGACTCTGTTCAAACGTTTATCGGTTCCAGATGCTCTTGCTCGTACCTGATAAAATAAAATAAAATTTAGAATTATTGGAGTAGTATAGCAAAATGGACAGACAGCATTAGAGTATGTGTTAGTGGGTGCGTCTGGTGCTTACCATAATATCATCCATGCCCTCGTCCAGTGGCTTTTGCCTAGCCCTTTCGTTCATTCCTACAACAAAATTGAGGACGCTGGAAGTATCCTCCGCATCAGAATCCCAAAGGGATTCTACGTCTTCAACTGAAGCCTTCCTCTCTTGAATTAAAGATCTTTCTCTGGAAGACTTTCTTTCTGTGGCTTGGAACTTTGATTCGGGTAGCTTGTCCTCATAGCAAACCGAACTATTAGAGCTTTCCCTTTCAACCTCAGTTGGGAATATGCCGGATACCTTTTCCGGCTCCTTGAGTTGAGGTGTGGCAGGTTTCTGCTGCAAATAACTTATGTGAGGATGTTTTGAAGATTCCTGATCCACCTTATCTATTTGAGTAGAAGACCCACTGGGTTCCTTTAGGAGGTCCACATTAAGGTTGTTAGTATTCTCTACGACAGCAGGATTTAACTGCTCATTCCCTGAGGATGATTTAACATCTATTTTATTGTCTGTTTCCACTTCTTTTACTTCAATACATGGAACTTCCTTGCAGTCATCATCAGGTTCAGCAGCTCTGCTGGCCATCTCCTCCCAACCCTGACACGGATCAGGCCCAACAAACGTTGGAGAACTGCCATCCAAAAGAAAGTCGTCATCAGAATTTCCAGTATGCTGTAAACTGGTTGTTGTTATGTCAAGATTCTCAGATGCGCTGTCCATCCTGCGAAGGAAATTATTAGCTCCTGACAATTCAGAGGCTGAATGTTTGCCTACTCTTAGAGGTTGATCTTTTTCAGCAGACTGAAGCTTATTTTGAGCAGAAGATTGAAAGAGATCACGTTCCCGAGTCAACTCACTGATCACTTGTTCCATCTGCATGCTTTCGAATCATGTGAGTAAAACAGGATAAACTGAATAAAAATTATCAAAAATAGAACGCTCAACACCAAAATTTTAACATAGCTAATCGTCGTGATAATAAAAAATTACTTTACAATCAATAATCAATGATATAATAACAAGCAGATAATATTAAAATGGTGTCAAAAACATATTATCAAAATATTATTATCTTAAAAGATAATTATATATAGTTCAACTCAGAAACCCTTTTATGGCCTAGCCATCATATATTTAAACAATTAATTTATGAATCATATCCTTCAATTTTTAAAAGATAATTATATATAGTTCAACTCAGAAACCCTTTTATGGCCTAACCATCATATATTTAAACAATTAATTTATGAATCATATCCTTCAATTTTCTCATATATATATATATATACATATATATATATATATATATATACATATATATATATATATATATACATATATATATATATATAAAATGAAACTACTCTTGTTATGATGGTTCATAGCTGAAAGAAATGGTCATGACGTAGGCGTTCAGGCTATTTATTTTTTGTCCCAGCAAAACCATGGAATAAATTATCTTTAAACTACAAAAAGTATAATATTCAACTTGCTGGAAAATATAATTCAATTGAATATCCTTCGTATATAATTTTTTTTGGTTCTATAAATTTAAATTAATTTTTTAATTTTGTAATTTAAAATATATCATTTTAATCTTTTTAAATATTGTTATATATTTTTAACGTGTATAATAAATATTTTTGATTAAGTATTCACTATAATTACGTGTTTAGGTACGTACAAGACGTCTGGATAAAAAAGATTAATTTTTTTTTCAAGTTTTAAAGAATAAAAGATTAATATTAATTTGAAAATTTAAAAAAGATACTTATTTTAAATTGAAAAAAAAAAACTAAAAATATTAAAACGATATAAATGACCCGCAACCAAACTAACAGATTAAAACAAAAGAACTCAACTTATTGAATCTGCCCTCACCTTTTGAATTTGGAGTTCTTTCTCCTTGAGTAAGATGGTATTTGGCGTGGAGTTCCTTAACTCATTCTCCAATCTGGCCAATTCCTTTTGCAGTTGTTTTACCAAAACCTTGTCTGACGTCACTTGATTGACCCGAGCATTAGTAGTCACCTGTTTTGCGCAACCAGCGAAAAGCAGAGTATTTCTTGATTGCTCACTATGGCTCCTTGCAGGACTAATGGTACAAACGATCGCTGTTCTGGCATTGCCACCTAAGGAGTTCTGTAAAATGCGAGTAAGCTTAGAGTCTCTGTAAGGTACGTGTTCATTTCTTCCCTTGCTGCATACAATAATTATATTTTAGTATTTAGGGTTTTATACTAAAAAATGCAATTGATGAATTAACAAAGTGAAGAAAAAAAGATAGAAGGAACTTTAAAATAAGAGAAAATTCATTGATAAAAACGTTGGCCAGGAATATCCAAGTCAAAAGATGAATCAAAACAAATACTTTTAGATTTTAAGTCAAGTGATTCGTTGATCAAGTTTAGCTTCTACCAATATATTTTAGTCCTCATCCGATATTTTTATTAAGCTAATATATCCTTCTATACTAGAAAAAAATTAGTCATGCCCAAACTAATAGATTATTTACGCAAATTGAATTAAGTTTACAATGTCCAACTTGAGACCAGGTATTCAACAAAATAGACAAATTTAAAATTTAGATATATTTCAGTCATAACATTTTTGAAATAAATTCGGGAGACGCATTGTTTTTTATATAAAAACTAATTATTTAATTCTTTTAATTTTTCGTTTATTTGAATAAGCATATTTAAGCAGCAGTTTCAATGAACTGTATCAAGATCCTGTCTTTGCATGGCGAACAAACTTAAAGAGAATAAGAAGCAATAAAATATAAAATTAGAGTAACTGTTTTATTTTTCCCTAGATCTCTACTATCAGACTGGATCACTGATCATATAAATTCTTTTCTCTTTTTCCTTTGGAAATCTCTATTATCACGGTGTTCATGTCCCAAAAAGATGGGAGAGTGGCCTCAAGTACAATGATTGCTTTATGAGATACCGTCTATTGTTTTTCTTTTTTCCATAAAGAGTGATTCATTAGAACATTGTCCACGGGCCGGACTTCATGGATCGGATCCATGTACATAATCATCATCAAACCAGTGACCACATTCAAAGATATAAGAATCTAGCTATCGTGCCTTTAGTTTAATCTGATGGATCTTGGTACATACTTTATGTGGTCATTTTTCGGACTAATCATGTTGAGCTATATCACCTATCATATATCACCTAATTTATTAAAGCAATTAGGTATAATTACCCAAATTTTAAATTAGTACGTAGGAGTAAATTATACCTTAGTTTACGGATTACAGTTCCAAGGCTCAGTAAACTACGATTTATGTGGCTGCCTTCTCTCAATCTTGTACCAGCTGACAATGTTTGAGCAGCACGTTCACTTCCTGCTAGATCAACAAAATTCTGTACAAAAGAAACCAAATCTTGTTCATTTCATCTACGAGTCAATTAACAAACAGAGACAATCCTACAATAATATATGTGGGATAGGACAAAGATCATACCACACTGGCGAATAGAGCTCCAGATCTTGCGACGTCTGCATAATCACGAGGATTACTTTCAACTGTCTGCAGGAATAATCATTTTGAGAAAATTTAGGAATAAAATGAGAATAATTATCTCAATTACTAAGCAATTTAACGATAAAAGAAATACCAATCGAATAATTTGGTGAGATCTGGAGCTAGCTTCGTTCATCGCTGTCTCTTCCGTTGTCCTTTCAGCTGCAAGAACACACGCATATATGGCTTGAAGTAGAGCACCGGAAAGCCTATAAAGCTGTAAATCGTAAAACAATATAGTAATTGAGCACCCAATACCTGCACATATCGAAAGGAGTCGCTGTAACTGTCCCCTATCTATCAGTGTCTCTTCCGTAAGTTTCTCCACAACTGTCCCTTTCTGTTTGAGGCGCATATATTCTCAATCATTCAAAAGAACTAAGCAAGGAACTCTTCAACAGAGCAATCAAATTATACCACCCAACTTACCTCTGGATCGTCTAGAATTCTCAGTGAAGTAGAACCTGCATTGAGAAGATCTCTAACAGCTTCATTATAGATCTCCATGGAAGAGAATTTGACTACAAATTCTCTGTCTTTATGCTGAAACGTAACAAGAGATGTCAACCTTTCGGCAGCTATCGAAGAACAACAATATCCATTTCATTGCAAGATGAGACCAGGATTTGAATTGTTCTATACCTTCTCTATGTATTCATATATATCCCTTACTGCAAATTCAGTAATGCCGGTCATTGTGTGCGTCTTTCCACTACTTGTTTGCCCGTATGCGAAAATGCTAGCTGATTACATTTCACCAATGAGAAACCCCTTAAAAGAAAAAAAGAAACCACCAGCCAATACAGCAATAAACACATTACACAATCAGGAATCATCAAACATGAAGAAGATTACTCACAGTTGACACCCCTAACTACAGAAAGGGCAACGTCCTTAATCCCTTCTTCATACACCTGCTTTGTACTGCACTTTTCCCCAAACACCCTGTCTGTTTCCAATACACCATCAGATTAAATAATAATATTGTGACAGAGATTACAAATACCCGGAAAACTGAGATATCAAATTGTGAAAAAAAAAAATTCAAAAATCCATAAATTATAACGATTCACGTGAAGCCTAATGATGTCAGTATAGGCTACACATGGACATGGAAGAAGTAGCAGCTTCATGTTTCTCACCAAAGGTATATGTATCCATTGACAGAGGACGCTGCTCTGCATGGCCGTTGTTCTTGAATTTGATGGTGTTGGTAGAAACACATTCCCAATCAGACACATCGTGCCTCGCTCTTTCTCTCTCGTTCAAAGGTCTTACTCTGATCGAAACGAAGATCCTCTCTTCCTCAGCATTTGAAAGTGCAAAGTTCCCCCGCTCCTCTCTGGCGTCCGCCATGGACGGTCTGTCTCTCGTCTTCACCATCCACGAGAAACGCACTTAGCACTCCTAAACACAGCGTCTCAACCCTACAGATAGAAAGACAAAACCACGCAATAATGAAATATCTGGGAAGCAAATCAACAATTGATTGTATTCAATTAATACAAAAATGTGGATGATGAAATAAACAGAATTACCATTCTCTGCATCCTTGTCACCGGCGGTGACCAGAGAAAGAGAGAACGGAGAGGAGGAAGAGAGACAGCAGAACAGGTTTGGTAATGGATGGCAAAACCGTTGTGTTCTTTTCCACGCTTCTGGATTCCGCACCCACCGGCCAGACATAAAACAGTTACGTTAACCCCGCTAAAATTTTCAAGTTCATTCACTATTTTGACCCTCAATCAAAATCTTTCTCATCTTCACGTGTCAATGTCACCCCCTCTCTGACACGTGCCACTAATTTTTCCCTTTTTTTAATATTTTTGTTAGAGCCTCCATAATCCATACATAACTTATTATACGAAAACGAGTTAAGTTGATCTTAAACGTTAATTAATAATCTTACTTAAATTAACAATTCTTTTACTTGCCCTGATAAACAAATTTTTATACCCATTTTATATTAATTATTTTACTTTTATCTTTTTCTAATAAATAATTTTTTCAAAAATGATATATACCCTTAAAAATGGATTATCAAGTACTTGTTAAGTTGTAAGAAAATAATTTATCTTTCTATACCTCATAAACCAACAAATACCAGTACTATCCCAATCTATGCATACAATATTATTCTCAATCTATAGTATACAATATATACACAATTGTTTACGTCATATTTTATCTATCAAACAGTCAATAAAGTAGTTCTTTTATAACTCATCTTATGGAATGTTATTTTAATTCCGCACTCTCAATCTTTAATAAATACGTTAATATTTATTTTGGTTGTATATTAAAATTAATTAACATATTTTATGAAATAAATTATTGAAAAAAATATATTTGGATATCTTTTCTCCTTTCTTTTTTAAAATTGAAAAACAATCAAAATTGAAGATTTAAATTTTCTCTCAATTTTTGTCAAATAATTTTACTCAGTAAAATATTTACTTAGCTCAAATTGTCAAGAATTTAAGTAAATCTAAGTTTTATATTGAATATAAATGAAAAAGTAAAACATCAATAAAAGTGAAAACACATTAATCAATTATCTTAATATTTTGGATTGAAAGTGATATCAATTCTGTGTTAAATTCAGATTTTATTAATATTGTGTCTCTCCATTAAACTTCATGTCTCGTCTGTCAAAATGAACGACACTGCGACGAAAGGATATATATATCATAATTTTGTGTCTTGATCATATTTTCATGTCTTCATATTATCCTATTATAATGTAAATAACAGTTTTACTATAACAATATAGTGCCTATAATATATGATATATAGTTTTAAGAAAAAAAAAGAATAGAAAAAATAGAAGAAAAATCGTGAACTATAATTATGGTAGATAGAAATTAGCATTATAATGAGGTTAAATGAGTGACGCAAAAACTACATTTAACAGTTAAATGAGTGGATTGTGTGGGACAGAACAATGATTCAAACGAAAATCATCATGACCTCAAAAGTATTGTTGAAGTTGATTAAGACAGTAGTGGTTGTGACGATAGGAATGTATGCGATAATATCCACATCCTCAACAACACTGATATCACCATCTTCAACACCGGAACAGCTTAGTAACATGAATGAAGGTGATGGATTTTATGATGCAGACGTAATTGGTGAATAGGCCAGGGTGCTCCCATTCCTCAACAACATAAACAGAAATCACCATGATGTATATAGTCATCGCTATCTTCAGAATCTCTTTGTTTTCTCAGGCGAAAATAATCCAGCCTCTACGTGGGATAACAAAATTGAAAAGATCATTCAGATTCCTTACAGATTATTTCTATGGTGGATTCGTCCAGCACAACAAGCTTCTTTACATTAAAAGCCTAGAGCACAATATAGGCATTTAACCACGTTGTTAACATCAAAATAAACCGTTACAATGCGCACATATCTAAAATAAAATTGAAGTTAGTTATAAATCATGGGTAAAAATTTGGACAAGAGAGCTTTTAATTATAAAAAATAAAGCAAAATAAAACTGTGTAGAGGAAAATGGGAAAGAGGTGAGGTTAAAATTAAGACGAGCCATCCTATAATAATTTTAACCATCAGAAGGAAGAAAAGAAAACGAGCCTTTCAAAGTAATGTTATATTCTTAGACAAAATGTCTCAGCAAAGTAAGATAAACTCTAAAAGTACATATCAATCCTACTGAAACAAGAAATTATAGTTATTTCAAAGCAAATAAATTATTACCATAATGTTCAAAGATTCCAACACTAAAATTGTTTGAAGGCTAGAGCTAATCATAGCAATTTGTGCAGACAGAGTGTAGCCAATGTACATCTCAGTCTAGACTTCACGAAATCACCTAAAGATTATATGACTATTTAGACTTCTTTCCTTGTTTTTTCTTGATAACTTCATCAACATACATTATACCCTTGCCTTTGTAAACTTCAGGAGGCTTACAGGTCCGAACAGTGGCTGCAAACTGGTGCACTCTTTGTTTGTCAATTCCTGTACAGCAAATTACATTGTTCTTGAAGCAAAAAACTCGGACAGCAGGAGGGACAGCTAATTCCACCTCATGGCTGTACCCCAATTTGAGATACAATAGACGACCTGCAGCTTCAGCTCTGGCTTTGTATCCAACACCCACAATCTTGAGAAAGCGAAAAAATTTGGCCTCCATCTATTCCAAAAGCAAATAAGTTGCCTAAAATTGTCAGGGAACGAAAATTGTTGCATTTGTTTTGATGAAGAATGTTAAGTACTCGGGAACAAGATATTCCGGAATGATATTTCTGGAAATAGGTAATTATAAGACAAATACTATACCCAGCAAAATATTAAATAACTCGTTTCCTCTCACAAAATCACTAGATATTCTTATAAGACTTCAATCATTCCTTGGACATATAGGTTTGTATCTAGTTTAAGTAGTGTAATTGAGTTAATTTAAGCATAGAGGTTAGGTTAGGATAGCTACATTGTGAAAAACTCCATTCTAGTGCATTTAGGAAAGTTGAAGTTGAGTACACCTAGTTCATAGTTTTCTTAGTTTTTCTGACTTAAGAATTTAATCAGAGTTACATTTAGGTTCTCTTAACACGATTTGTATTCTTTTTAGGTTGATTTTAGTTTGTTTAGATTAGTATAATTAGATTTCCTCCAATTTGCATACGCACACACTCAAAGGCAAAAAGCAAGTTTGTCTCTCCTAGGATTGATCTTTGGTTTCACACCATACTATAGAAGTGAGGAAATCGATGTTGCATAAATTCTTAGTGACAAAAGAGTTTATCAAATGGCGTCATTGCTGGGGAGAGGCAAAATTTGAGTGATTTTTGAGTTAGTGTGTTGTGTGTTTGAAGATTATAAATTTTAGAAATGATGATTTTTCTCTTTTTACTGCTGCTCTGTATTTTTCTGTGAGCTAACCAGTTTATTTTGAGCTTAAGAATGCATGACAAGGTCGAAATCAGGTCAATTGTTCCAATTTGACGCTGAGATTGACAGAAAAATTTGAGTGATTTTTGAGTTAGTGTTGTGTGTTTGAAGATTATAAATTTTAGAAATGATGATTTTTCTCTTTTTGCTGCTGCTCTGTATTTTTGTGTGAGCTAACCAGTTTATGATGAGCTTAAGAATGCATGACAAGGTCGAAATCAGGTCTATTGTTCCAATTTGACGCTGAGATTGACAGAACTTTGCGATTGTAGAAAAAGGCTAAGCTGAATCAGAGGAACTTAGAGTTCACTGCACCTTCTGAAACAAAAATTGATAGCTGTGAGGAGATGGCTTGACAGCAGGAAAGAACATTGATGGAGCTTGCCAATAGGATATTCGTTACCAACCCTTGTGTATTCAGATTCCTCAGAATAAAGGAGCAGCTAGCTTCGAATTGAGAACTGGACTGATTCAATCATTACCAAAGTTTCATGGAATGATTGGAGAGGATCTGCATAAACACCCGATGGAGTTCATCATTGTATGCTCAACCATGAAACCGGCCAACATTTCTGAAGAAGTGGTTCGAATGAACGCATTTCCCTTCTCTCTATGTAATGCAGCCAAAACATTGTTGTTCTCTCAACTAAAGCCCATAGCTGAATGGGTAGAAATGAAGAGAAAATTTCCGGAGAAGCTCTTTCCAACATCTAGGACAGCATCTTAGAAAGGAAATCAGCGGAATTAAGCAATCACAAGGAGAGAGCCTCTCGGAGTATTAGGAACGTTTTAACAAGTTGTGTGCAACCTGTCCTAATCATCAAATTAGTGAACAGCTCTTACTACAATACTTTTGCGAAGGATTGACCTTGGTTGACAGGAATTTGCTTGATGCTGCTAGTGGAGGGGTGTTCATGGATAAGACACCAGCTGCAGGCCGTTACTTGATTTCTAACATAGCTGAAAACAGCCAGCAGTTCATCATTAGGGGAAGTACCATCAGGGGAGTTCATGAGCTTGAAGTAAATGCTACTCAAGGACAAAATTTGTTGACTGAAGATAATATGAAGATAGGCAACAAAACTTTGGAATTGATTACTATTAGATATATTATCTTTATTTTATATTTATCTTTTATCTTTAGTTTGTTTGTTATTATTTCTTATTTGTAGTTTAGGCTTAGCCCATATTTCTTCTATTATAAATAGAGGACCATATGTGTATATTCAACACAAGGGAGATTAATCCCATATATAGTTTTTCACTATATTCAACATGGTATCTAGAGCTAAGTTCTTTTGAGGAAAAAAGTTATTGGTGTCTCTGTCACTACATCCGCTGCTGCTGGCGGTGGTGCCATATACTGCTACGAGCGGTGGCGCCATATACTACAGCCGGCGGCACCGTCGTCTACCGCTATTGTCGGAGTTCAAGTTTCTATCGATGATCACATGGTTTTGATCGTCTCGGTCAAGCAACCACCATGTCATTAACGACGCCTTCATTGAAGCTCCTACGCGCTCTCAGGGTCTTTTGAAGATATGGATTTGCTCCCTTTTCCGTCGTGCATGGTGACATGTCTAGTAATAATTTAGAGCGTCGAGGTCGCGTTCATCGTGTGTTGTTGCACGTCCCGTCTCCTCTCAGGCCGCTATCTGGAGCATCGAGGTTGCTCTTTTTCCTTTTTCAGGTGTCTTGATTGGAGAATCTTTTATTTTTATAGTTTCTCTCTCCTGTTCATCCATAGCTTCTTCCACTACTATCTCTTTTGACCTCTCTTTTGTCACCATTGCGTTTGCCCCGTTCATATATGTTTTTTTCCCATGAAAAAAGATGGTTTTTGTTAGTTTATTTATACCCGTGGTGGCTCTCCAACAATTACCTCTTTATCCACTGGTGGCATTCCTCAATGATGATTTGCAAGAAGAGATTTACATGGAGCAACCTCCCAAATTTGTTGCTTAGGGGGAGCCTTTTGGGTTGGTATTTCGTCTTTTATCTCGTCTTGCAAATCATTATCAATTTGGTGTCACTCGAGTGCAAAAGCATATATTTTCACTAAGTCTTTATGGATTATATTAGTAACAAGCTTGGTACATACGATTTGTATGCACTAGCTTGAGGAGATATATTATCTTTATTTTATATTTATCTTTTATCTTTAGTTTGTTATTATTTCTTATTTGTATTTTAGGCTTAGCCCATATTTCATCTATTATAAACAGAGGACCATATGTGTATATTCAACTATAGTCAACAATTACAATGATGGGGCAGATGGCCTTGAATCAGTAGGTTACATTGCGGATTATGTGCTGCAGATGACCATTTCACGGACCAACGCCCACAGCTGCAAGATGTAGCCAATTTGGATGCACAACTAGTGGCTGGAATTTTCCAGAATCAGCAGGGGAATCAGCAGCAAGGCAACCCGAGATGGATCCCTAACCAAAACTACATTCCAGCAGATCCATCTCTACCACACGCACAGTATTTCCAGAATACCATAGCTGTACCTAGGCCTACACCTAATACTCAGCTTTTGATAGGCCACAAGGATACGTGGCACAACAACAAAACAGCAGAATTGATCCCTCCATCGAAGCAACTATCCAGGATTTGCAGACTCAAATAGGACAGCTAGCTTCAACTGCGAATGAACTGGTACACCAAAGATCAAGTGCTCTTCCAGCTCAACCATTGGTGAACCCAGAGTCTGGAACAAATTGAAGATTACATGCTGAAGTTCAAAGTCCATTGTGTATATCATGAACTTAGGAAATTTTCTTTGTAATAAGTTGATTTGGACGTAAATTTCGGTGTGCTGAACATTTTTTTTAGTTTTTCCACTTAACACACAATAAAATTCATCCTTGTGAATATCACAAATAAGCTTCAGTCTATCATACGTGAATAATTGATAAACCTTGATGATTGCAAATGCTCACTGAATGGTGCAGATTTCATTGAAGAAGGTGTGAAATCGATGCTGGAAAATCTAATTATTTTTTTTTACTAAGCAGCATGTCTGCTGCACTAATATCAGTTCTCACATCATCCACGTATTAATAGCTGCAGTTCTTTCCTGGTTCTACCTTTCTTACCCTATCTCTTTCAATTCTGTTAAAATTTTAGTAGTAGTTAATCCTAGATTTTTGTTTCAGTTTCATAAGCATTCAGTAATTTCCAATTTTCAGTTCTGTTTCTGTGAGTAATTGTTTTACTAGTTTTAACTCATGATTATATTGCGAGTTAACTCGTTAACTAGTACGAGTTTACGTTTCTACACATAAGTCAACTCATAAACAAGCTCAATTTTGATATAAAGTCGGTAGAATAGTTGAACTCGGCTAAACTCGCGATTTTGCAATCGAATTGGCGAGTTCCAAGAGAAGATTTTTTAAAACTCTAAACAATGGTGGTTTGGTGTGCGAGAGTGAAGAAAACTTACTGATTAGAGATTAGGGTTTCACTCTTCTTCTGTTGCCCCGCACTGGTTCTTTCCTTCTTCTGAATCACCCGCCGTCTACAGACCGCCTTCCGTCGTCGCACGTAGAGAAAGAGAGAACACTCCTCAGTCCCTACACTGTTTCTCTTCGTGTAAGTTATGGGAATTTTAATTGATTTTAATTGCTTTCTATTACCAAAAAATGATATTATATTATTTATAATATACGTTTTATTAACTTTTATCATTAATAAACTAAAATGACTTCGTAAGAAATAAAATCAAATAATTAACTTGCAAATCTATTATTCTGAATTAAGAACTCCATGAGCCACTTTTATTGGCCCAACCTAATCAATTTTACATTATAATCACACAATTATTTGAAGATAACTTAGATATCAGATAACTAAATAAAAAATAACATTATAATAATTTAATACTTCTATTCCACAATAATTATTTTAATACGTCTTACATAAAAAATAGTTTGTTATACCGTATCTACTGAAAAAACCGCAGCTTTTATTAATATTTACAAGGATATAACTATCACTCTTGAATTATAAAGTTGAGTTCTTATTAAATTAAAATTATATTAAGAGTATATTACGACATGTCACTTCTCTTTGACAAATCAAACACTTATTTATTTTATATCACGTGGATATATTTTACATTTTAAGATAAAGTGAAATTTTAAGGTTTTCAATTTTAATCAACCTTATTTTACATCAATTATTATTATTTTTTAAATTGTCAAAATACATCAATAAAGACAACGCGACCTAATCTTAATTTTATATGTATTTAATATAGCTAATACTTATAATTTAATAATTTCGTACAATTTATTAAAATGTTAAATTATTCGCATTATTACACCACAGATACTTTTTTTTTTTTTTCATTTCACCCTTACCATGTAGTTTGAATATAATTATGTTATTTTTAAATTGGAGTGCATGTGAATGTTTTACAACTTTAACTCTCAAAATAATCATCAAGCTTCCTCACTAAATCAGAAAGCATATTAGTTGTTGCATTTACTCCCTAACATCCAAAAAACATATTAGTTATTCATAAGCTGATTACTACCAAGAGCATGCAAGGATAGCAAGAACATGTAAGAATCATGATATATCATTCATTTAGTGTGAGCAAAAGAATTTTGTCAAGGGATAATAGTTTCTAAAAAATTTAAGTATATTTTGAGCCTCTTATATATGTTTTTATTTTAATCTAAGTATGTTTATTTTATCTCACTCTTAAATAAATTGAAGTTATTATTATGAATTTATAGCATCTATTTTAAGATAAACAAATAATATTTGTCTTAAGATCTTGTAATTTCTTTTATATATGTTACATTTGAACATGATAGATAATATGTTAGTATTGGATTCCGATTTTTTAAGGTTTTAGTATTATTTAATCGATAACATGAAGTTTTAACATTTATTTATTTGTACGAGTAAAAGAAAACATGAAAATGAATGAGAAAAGCAGAAAAGAAAGTCAGAATGCATTTGAATAAACACAAATGTATAAACTACACGAAAATGATAGAAAAACTATAAAAAAAAAAAAAGGTAAAAAAATATTATCCCTGAATTTGAATATGTATAAAAATCTAAAATACATATAATTTTTTAATGTAAATAATAATTTTACTATAACATTATAATGCCTATAATATATGATATAGTTTTAAGAAAAAAAAAATAGAATAGAAAAAATAGAAGAAAAATCGTGAACTAAAAATTATAATTATGGCAGATAGAAATTAGCATTATAATATGAGACTTTGTTAGAGTGACGCAAAAACTACATTTAGCAGTTAAATGAGTGAAATTGTGTGGGACAGAACAATGATTCAAACGAAAATCATGACCTCTAAAATATTGTTGAAGTTGATTAAGATAGTAGTGGTTGTGACGATAGGAATGTATGCAATAATATCTACGTCCTCAACAACACTGATATCATCATCTTCAACACCGGAACAGCTCAATGACATGGATGAAGGTGATGGATTTTATGATGCAGACGATTATGGTATTTGGAACCCTTCTACTGGTTATTGGGGAATAGGTCACGGTGCTCCCATTCCTCATCCGCAACATAAACAGAAATTACCATGATGCATCATGTATATAGTCATCGTTATCTTCAGAATCTCTTTGTTTTCTCAAAATTCTACTGTTCAAAATAAATTATTACTTAGTTTTTAGTGTGGAAACTATAGTATGATGTTATCTGTGTAATGTGACTGTGTAAGAGTATATGTAGATTGAATTAGATAACGGAAAAGTTTCTTTTTTTTTTGGAATTAAGAACTTCTAATTTAAGAGCTAATTTCCCTCGAAAAAGATGAATGTGGTAATTAGAATGATAAAGAATATAATTGTCATTTTAATAGAATTATAAAGAAACTATTTTTAAAATAAAAAAATTATAATTTTTTAAGAAAAATGAAATAGAGGAGGGCCCTTCCTTCGGGTGGTGATAGCGTGCTCCAGTTACGGCGAGCAACATGGTTTCCCGCTAGTGCGAGAGGAAATAGCACTTTCCTATCATTCATTCGTCTAAGCCAGAAGCGATTCTGAAGTTTGAAAAAGTGAAGGAAATCGCAACAGTGAGGTCTACATTTTGATCTAAAAAAAACTGCATGTTTCTTTTTCTTGTGTTTGAAGAAGTAGGGAGATGATAGATTGTAATTATTGCATCCACATTTCAGTTCAATTCACGCCTTGGTATCCATTGGTTTTAAACGATGGAAGAAAGAACCTCGATCTTGTCACCTACTTGTAGACACACAGCAGCTTCTCTGTTCGCTCTCGCACTTCACCACTCTCAGATTCGTCTAACAAAGGCTACTTCTCTCGACTCTCAAACTCAAGACCCGGAAGTCTGGTTTAATCAGAACTCTCATTTGCTCGGCCCAATTTTTAGGTATTCATAAATAAACACAAGGAAATCAATGTTGTAATATACGGGTCTTGATTCTGTGTTGTAAGATGATAATTGAATATATAGGTTATTCTATTTGTCAATTCTGATTCTTCTTAAAACTTAAACTTATCAGGTTGTTCTTTATATATATATATAATCTTTAATTCTGTTTTGTTCTGTTACGAGTTTCTTTCTATACTTGTTGGAATTAAATTAAGAACCCATTTATGAGAATTCATCTTAATTAGAATCGAGGGAGAGTTTTAAAAAGTTGTAGTTTGATCAAATTATAGGTTGTTGGCATTTATGTGTATGATGATTATGATGATTGATTTTTTTAATAATTACCAAATATCGTATTAGAAGTGTAAGTGGTATCAGGATTAAACTCGTAATAACAATATGATGATAAAAATTGTCAGGTTCCTTGAAGTGGATGAGGACTCCTGGCAGGGCATAAAGGAAACTGCCTGTTCCTCTTCTCAATTCAGACATCACCTTGGATCTGTATGTTGTTCATTCCCTTCATTTACATTTTCTATATTGTGGATTAGAAATGTTTCATGGCTTACATATCGCTTCTTTTCTTTCTTGTTAAAATTAAAATATAACAATAAAATGATGGTTGCTTCATTCCAGTTGTTGACATTACTATCAGAGGAAGGTGGTGAATCAAAGAAAGAAGCTGAGTTGACCAAAGCAGTTGATGCCTCGGCTTTGAGCTTGAATGATACTTCTGCTACCCATTGTCCAAGTGGGCAGAAAACTGGGAACCAAGATGATATGTGTGACAGTATGGAGAGCTCAGCTATGCTGTCTGAAAAGAAAAAAGCTTCTGGTACACTAGAAATCGCAACGTTTGAACAATCTTTAGAGGAGGCAACCCTTATTGGTTACCAGAAGAAAGTGTCAGTTCTGTACACACTAGTTGCGGCTTGTGTGGCAGACACTGACAAGTCAAGGAAGGGCTACGATGCTCGTCACCGTGTGGCTCTGCGGTTGCTTTCTGTATGGCTTGGTGTCGAATGGATTGAAATGGTCTGTGTGCTTGGAACATTAGCCTGCATTTCAAACACCATATGGTATTATAATTTGTATGTTACGTTTGTGACATGTGAATCTTGTATGTTATGTTTGTGATGTGTGAATTTCACAAAACAAAGTTCTTTCTTTAATAATGTGATGTATATGTTCGAATGTCTCAATGCTTTGCTGGTTTTCCGGCAGCTCTGTAAGTCTACCTTCTTCGTGATATTTTGCAGGAAGCAATGGAGGCTATGGTTGCTTTTTCTATAATAAATTCAGCGAGTAAAGAAGGTGCTAAGGAAGAAGAATCTGTAGGTTCAGAAACTAGCCTGGATAAATGGAAGCGTGGAAGTATCATAGGAGCAGCTGCTGTAACTGGAGGAGCCTTAATGGCTGTAACTGGTGGCATGTATCCGATACTGCATTTCTAACTCAAAGTAAGGTGAGATAATAGCAATATTTTAATCATTGAAATGCTTTGACAGGCTTGGCTGCGCCGGCAATTGCCCATGGATTGGGTGCTTTGGCTCCTGCGCTAGGAGGTCTTGTTCCTGCCATCGGAGCTAGTGGATTTGCAGCTGCCGCAACTGCTACAGGATCTGCTGCTGGATCTGTGGCTGTGGCTGCATCATTTGGAGGTGTAAAAACTAAATTTGGTTTATATACGTTGTGAAATCATTCAGCATCGAACAACTAAAAATATACGTCCAACCTATATTATTTGAGGCAAAAGGGACTTTTCTAGTTTTTCAATGTACATGGATTAATGCTAAGTGACTTGCTTCTTTTGTAATCCAGCTGCTGGAGCTAGCCTTACTGGTAGTAAGATGGCAACAAGAATTGGAAGTCTAGATGAATTTGAGTTAAAAAGTGTTGGAGGCACTAATCAAGGAGTAAGTTCCAAAATGTCATCACATTATACTGATTACTTCTGACAGTTAGGAGTTTCAGGGTTGGCTGGATCAGGAACACTTGGTAGGTTCATTAGGAGGCACTCTGTATTGTGCTTGACTTGATGAACCCAGGAGGATCTTATTGAAGTTAATTGTGAAATACCCTAATATGATTGTTGAAATTTGAAGCGAAACCTCTATTTTCAATTTTCAGCACCTAGCAGTTAGAATCTCCATTTCTGGGCAAGTATTTAAGGAGAAAGATTT